TGTGGCGATCTTAACAGAGTATAAAGTTTAATTACAAATAATGATAGATAAATAAGGTTAATTATATTTAAGTCATTAAGCAGATTAATATTGAAGAACAAAAAAAGATTAACAAATAGTAAAATTAAAGATCTATAGAGGGATCCTCATTGGCCATTAACATTAAACTAATAGGTTCATTTTTCATATAATTGCTCAGACATATAGGGACATAAAAATGTTTATTTATATGATTAAAATTATTAAAATAATTATTAAAATTTGAGCATTTGCGTAATATAATTTAAAAATATTGAAAATTTATGCACATTAATTTTTATAATAATATTATTAATAAAAACGAAAGTACATACAATGTTTTCAAAATTATTTCATAGTTTAATGTGGTTATAATATATCTACTACAACCTTCTAAATTATAATAGTGCGGTAAGTTGAATCTTGTGCAGAGCTAAGTGTAAGCTTGTAATACGTTTATTTGGATAATGTTCTAACTCTTTATTTTAGTTATGATATGATATGATATTATTTAGAAAATATTTATCATCTAAATTACTTTTAGCAATACTATTTCTTTTAAACAAAATACTTTTTTTTTTTTATGTTAATTATATTGTAGTGTTCTTAATATTATATTTATATACTTTTGTTTTTAGAAATAAAGCAATTGCTGATTATCTTAGTAGCAATAGTTATCACAATGCCTTAGAAGGATTAAAAAAAGATGCTGATATGCCTGGTGAAGTAGAAAATAAATATGGTGGTTTACTTGAGAAAAAATGGACATCTGTAATCAGATTGCAAAAGAAGGTAGTTAATACTTAATACTCACAAAAGTACAATTGTATTTCAAATAATCATTATACTACTTGTTTAAATATGTGATTTATTAATATTTAGGTAAGCGAACTTGAATCCAAACTTTCTGAGTATGAAAAAGAAATTAATTCTGGAGCTCCAAAAAGAGCGTTGCGTTCCCCGAGTGATTGGATACCAAGAGCTCCTGAAACACACTGTTTAACTGGTCATAGAGAGACTGTCATCAAAGTTATTTTTCATCCTATTTTTAATATTCTTGTATCTGCAAGTGAAGATGCCACTATTAAAAGTTGGGATTATGAGACTGGCGAGTATGAGAGAACTTTAAAAGGTCATACAGAAGCTATTCAAGATATTGCATTTGATGAAAGTGGCAAACTATTAGGTTATTTAATGATAAAAGAAATAAAAACTGGGTTGGTTTTATTTTAATTTATATATATTTTTAGTTTCCTGTAGTGCTGATATGAGCATAAAGCTGTGGGATTTCAGTCAAACATATGAATGCATCCGTTCCATGCACGGTCATGAACATAGTGTATCTGGAGTATGTTTTCTAAAAGGAGGAGATTTCATAGTTTCTTCTTCAAGAGATAAAACAATTAAAATGTGGGAAGTAAATACCGGGTAAGATTATAAAAATATTAAAAATTTGAATTTTTTGAATTTTATTCTTGTGTTTTATCATTTCCAGATATTGTGTTAAAACATTTACTGGTCATCGGGAATGGGTCAGAAAAGTCAAAGTTTCTCCCTGTGGTCAATTTTTAGCTTCATGTTCTAACGATCATACAGTTAAAGTTTGGATAATTGCTGCAACTCAGTGTAAAGTAAGTTTAAATATTTTATTAATAATGATTTGTAATTTAACTAAAAAATTCTTATCAATATTACAATAGGCCGATCTTCGAGGACATGAACATGTAGTTGAATGTATAGCTTGGGCACCAGCTGCATCGTCATCTGCAATTAATGAAGGAGCTGGGGTAGATCAGAAAAAAAATGGTTATGAAGGACCTTTTATTATATCAGGATCAAGGGATAAATCAATTAAGGTATGTAATACATATTTTGATTTATACTCGGTTTAATTCTCCTCTAAATTAAAATTGTGTCATAGTTACTATGAAAAAAAAAAGGTGGTTAAGTCGTGGATGTCGCTCTGCTGTACAGTAGGTTACAAGTGGGTTACTGTAATGGATGGAATTAAATTTGAATCCAATGATATTATATCATTGTATACGAAAACGATTCTGAGCGAAGACAGTTTATCTGTCTAGAATATATTATAGATTATTAATAATTAAAAGAAAATTTTTTATGAATTTCTAGCTTAAAATAATTGTGAATTTTTGTGATTTTTACGTATTTTGTCAAAATTCAAACTTTGAATGCTTATAAAAATTTGTGACTATGAATTTCTTTTATTTTTCAACTGCTGTTGTAACAATATGTTAAGAGCCTTGTATTAAATTTTCAAGCTTTTCTGCCTAACAAATAAATTTTTATCAATATTAATTTTAAAAAAACTAATAATGATCRAAAATTTCAAATGTCTATGAATAGTTCAACTTCAGTCGAAAAGTTTTGAAAATTGCATGGTGGATAGAATATACTTATATAAACATTCGGTGATAATTTCATGTATCTATGTTCATTTTTATTAAAATTATATCAAAAACCGAAATCGATTTTGTCGAAAAATGAGTGTGCATAAAATTTCCCGTTTTCCCCTTAATTTTTAGTTTGTTTTTCTCGATTATTTAGAAAATTATTAAGAATTTTTCACTTGTGACCCCCCAAAGTACCAACTAGATTCACTTTCTGATCAAACGAGGTACTGAAGTAAAAAATCGAAGCATTTTACTGCCCCAAAACGTGATGACAGACAAAAAAAAAACACACACATCATGGTAAAATCAATACATTCATCGTTCCGCTCAGAATCTAAAAATGATTTTCCTACTTATAATTAATGAGCATTAACACAGACTTGATAAAAAGAACCTGGTAAGTTCTATTAAACAGAGAAAGATCCGATAAATGTCATTCATAAAAAAAATATTTTAAATAAAAAAATAAAAACGTTGTTTAATGCCTCATGACAATCTTAGTGGAAAATACATGTAGAACGGTATTTTTTATGGAATATGTACTTTTCTGCCTAGTTTGATTGATTATAATTTTTTCAAAATGATTTTAACAGGTTTTCCAAACATAAAATTACTTTATCTTTTTACGCTGAGTTCTAAATTTGTATTGCATCATTTTTACTGTATAAATATATAGTTGTTTATAATCAAAGTTCAGTCGTTTTGTACTATTATGTAATGAAATGTATTAATTTTTACTAGATGTGGGACGTTGCATCACGTTCATGTTTATTTACTATGATTGGACATGATAATTGGGTACGCGGTTTAGTGTTTCATCCTGGTGGTAAATATGTTATATCAGCAAGTGATGATAAAACACTTAGAATTTGGGATTTGGCAAACAAACGTAATATGAAAACACTATTAKCTCATKGGCACTTTTGTACAACAGTTGGTAAGTTGTCTAATCAATTCCTTTTTCTCACAATTATTTATTCATTTATTTTTACAGATTTCCATAGATCACAACCATTTGTAATAACAGGTAGTGTAGACAAAACTATAAAAGTTTGGGACTGCCGCTAATAATTTTTGTTTAAAAATATAAACAATATGTTCATTATTCTTTGCTAATTTTTAACAGTATCTCCACAATGATGTTTTCTTTTTCTAGTCTGTCATAGAAGTGTAGGTAGTTTATCTCCAAGTTGTATTTGTATAAAAGGAGCACGGCATTTTTTTTATAAAGAAATGGCTCACTTCTTTATGTATTGTAGGTATGTATTATTTTTTCTCATTACTAGTTTTTAATAAAGTTTTAGGTTTAAAATAAAATATTATTTTATTTAAATACCTGCTTTTCATTTATGACAATGTACAATTTTGTTAAAATACTCTTATTTTAATTAAACATTTGAATTTATAATTATTTTTTTATATAATGCTTAACTCAGAGATCAGCTTAATTGAAATGTTTTTATTATTATATTTATTACTATTAATACATTTTTTTATAATTATAAAATCATTAATATATTGGCATATTAAGTTATTAAACTAATATATTAAGAGTCATTGCATCTAAGTTAAATATTATCTTTTGTTCAATTATTAAACAATTGGGTTTTTTTTTTAATTTGTGCTATACCATTTATGAAAATTATCTTTAAAAAAAAATATTAAGTTTAAAAGTTATACTTTTGTTCACTGGTAGTTATTAAACACAATAACTAAAACGTATATTTAAAATCTATACTTATAATATACTAATTATAATATTGATGATTTGTTTAACATAATTTTTCATGAAAACTGGTAATTTGAATAATAATGTAAATTCTTTTAACATACATAAAGTAACAAAAATATTATATAATAGCTGGTAAGTTACAGTGCTTTGTTAAGGGCCGTGGGAATATTTAAGAGTTTAATTATAAAGACTAAAAAAAGTAAATATGTATTAAATTTGTACAAATCGTTGATTGTAGTGTCAAAGTAAAGTATTTTACTAAATATATGATATAATACACAATATTACGACATTCAATATTGTATGTAATTTGCTTATTTTTCTGAAAAACAACCACGCTTACTTTCTTATTATAATAATATGAACATATAAGTAATAATGACTCTACCAGAACATAAACTGTTTCAGTGCCATTGCCCATTAATTATAATTTGTAGTCTTAAGAACCRAAATTACAACTATCTATATCATACAATTTACTGTCTTTTGTGGTTATTATTAATAGTTTCAAATCAATAATTTAGTTTTGCAGTAGTAAATAATCAATTTCTTTTATATTAGTTAAGTTAATGGTTTTACTACTATTGTTTTTATTTTGTTTCTAATTTATCTGTGAGTTATTAACAAATATGTACATAATTTTAAACATCTATAGCCATTGTATAAATTATTACAATTAAGCTTATTCGTAATCAATTTATAAATTACTGTATTAAATTTAAAATTATCAGATTAGTTGTTTCCGTTCTTTAAATACCTATCTTAATAACGTACAAATGGAATATGACTACTTTTGACAAACTAGCAGTGTAACTTGTTGGTGAATGTTTTTATAAGATATATTTATTTTTATTTCATATTTTTGAAATTTTAGATACACTCAAAGAAATTGTTTCTAAATACCAATATTAAATCCCATACTCACAATATACAACGTATTATTTTTTTTGTTAAACATTACAAAAAATGATTGTACTTTTAAATTGATTCCAATACATGTTACTTGCATGATGCATATTAAATAATAAAATAATAAATTCTTTTATTAGTTTTTATTAATTGATCTATAGAATATATGTAAAACAAAAACATAATATTCTGCAATTCAATAAATAATATATGTATGACCAAGAATTGTTAACAGGCCTATGCTCTTCTGTTCAGCATCTTATATAGAAACTAGAAAGCTCTTTTTTTTTAATATTTCAGAGAAATGTACCTTCTGTATTTGTTTATATAATTAATAAATATGATGATGAAATCTTTTATAATTTAGCTAGTTGGTTGACTGATTGATTTTCAAATTTTTGTGTAGCGTTTCATTTGTTACATATCAGGGATTCAAGCCTATTACCCGATAAGTGATGGATTCCTGCTTGAATGGTGTAGACTTGGGAAGGTTTGATACATTTCAATATTTACATACCATACACCCAAATAGGTCTGAGTAGAGATTAAAGAACAGTTTAGATTTTGTGTGAATTGATAWTTTAGATTAGAAAGAAAATTGATCTTAGCACATAAAAGCAGTTTTTAAGGATTTTGATTGAACTTGAAATCTGTACCTTAGGTTAGTCTTTTATCAGGTGAAGTTTCCAAATATATTACCAGAGTCATAATATCTTGACTCCATAAAGTTAGAGGGGGGTTATTTTTCCAAAGGGTAAATGGCACATTGAAGAATACATTAAAAAAATTTCATTTTGTTTGCTCATGTGTTTAGTAAGTTGAGGTGACTTTGGAAATAGGTTGAAGCTTGAAAGAGATCTGAATTGGAGGCAAGTATAGCTTTATCATCGGCAGAGTCAAAAGAACCAATGATAATGAGGCTTAGCGTTCATGTAAAAAAGTGCTTCAATATATTATAAAAACAATTTAAAATTAATTGTTATTTAAGAGGGGCTCAGCTTTAGTCCATACCAGGGTCAAAAATATGATGTAAGAGGCCTGATCATCGGCATAAGTTGCTATGTTAGTGCCTCCTTTTTTGTAGGATATCAGATGCATATGTATCAATTAAATTAGATGACAAGTCACATCCTGGAGGAACATCAAAAGATATTGGAAAGTAGAAGGATATTGAGTCACCTTGTCAAACTGCAAATGAACAATTACAGAGGTAAGAACAGATTATTAGATAGAGAGGTGCTGGGGGGCATATAAATAGCTGTTAAATCTTACAAAAAATTATTTTATAATGATGATCAAATGATAAACTTACAATGAAAAATAGTTAATAAATAMATTTTATTAAATATTTAAACTTTTATTAAAATTCTTGACTAATTGTGGAATATCTTCTTCTTCTAGATGTTCTGCATTTAGTACAGCATTTCCTATAGCGATTGTTGTTCGTATTGATGTAGTATTAATCCAAATTTTTCCATTTGCCCCAATGACAATTTCATAGGGAACCATCTGTCCAAGATGATAAAGTAATTTTGAATTTGACTTCCTTAGCCTCAATGCATAATTTAAACTGACATTAATCAAAAAACCATTTTCTAACTGACCAAGAATTATGCTGTTAGCATATTCTACACAACTGATCTCAGATTCCATAAATGGTGTTGCTGTTTTAATCTTAGCAGCTACAACATTCCCCACTTTGATGTTAGGTCTATTTTTTTTAGTAGCGTTTGTAAATGCCAAGTATGGAAGAGTAGCTAGTTCAGAAGCTCCGATATCAACTTTATACATTTCAGACGTTTTAGCGACCACTATTCCCACTACAACATCATCCTTAGCCGGTGTGTATTTTTTTTTTAAATATTCTATCCAAAAGTATTTGTCATCTTTGGACCTCAGTACTCCTCCATTACATACGATTATTTTATTGTCGATACTTTTCAATCCTGGACCAATGGTTTTTTCACTTCTTTTACAAGTGTCTCCTTTAAAAACTATATGAGAGACGTCATTCCCCGGTAACACAACGTTATTGAAATCGACCAAACACATCGTTAACTGTTAATTATAAATATTAAATATTAAGTCAAATAAAATCGCATGAGTAATAAACTTTCGTCAGAGAAAATCACAGCAAAAAAGACATATGTTCCGCTAGCAATATTTGATATTTTGATAACAATGTGCTGGGCGCCCAAACAAGTWCAAAAACCCGATATAGAAGAAAACCGAAATACACGGCTAGAGGGCGCACTACATCAGCAATAATAATATACTTATACAGACCCGAGTACCGAATTTGAATGATATTTACATGTAGGTACTTAYAATTACAAGTTTGCCTAAGTTTCCAAAATCAAATAAACGTTTAGGTACATATCTGGAGATTATTAAAAACATAATCTCAAGACCTCAGGAGCCCACCGCCCACGAGAGGACGGCATCCCGTCCACAGAACACTCGCCAGCCGAGATCACGAACGGCCGGATATAGAAATTTTTTAAAAACACTTACTTTCATTTTGCCGAGCTCTAATTAGTATTAAAATCTTTGTATTGAACTGCACAATTCGAATTTTAAGATAAGTTAGGTAGGCTATAGTAAGGTAGCCTATATAAACTCAATGGTTCAACCGCCCGGATGCCGTGCACATATACGCGGCCGAACCGCATGCGGTTATACCAAAAATATTTATATTATGAATGAAATGTTATTAGAATATTATAAAACTTAGTCGTCTGAGTTTCTTCAACACGAAAGGTTGTTTATTGTTTATAACGGTATAAAATATTAACTACCCGACATCCGTACAAAATGGATTTAAATCATGATCGTCTAGTTCAGKTCTTGTGTGTAGCAGAAGGCCTTGGTAGTTGGTGTGCTCAGTGCCGTAAAAATCATAGGTGCAGGCGGTGCACAGCACTGGGGCCTGCATGGCCCCTAGGGCCCTTGGTGGATAGATGTCAATTTTTTTTTAAATTTGATTCATAATAATTTTATTATCATCTTGTATTTAACTTAATATAACAAAATGTAAAAGCCTGGTTCGTTATATTCTTAGATTTTACTTGGAATCGCTTATCAAAATATTGAGAAAATTTACTAAGACATAAATAGATATGTTGATTATTATACGCGTCACGCGATACACACACAAACTAACAATGTAATCGAGAATCAGAGCAGTTCGTTCTACGTAACTACGTTGTTCAACCCTGTCGATATAATAATATGGGCACACACTAGTTGCCTCCCGATGTCAAAAAGGCCCATCATTTTTATACGAATTGCCTCCCGACTATGAGTTGCCTCCCGACGTACCCTAAATGTTATCATAGCCGAAAAGAGTCTAGTATACTAGTAGCCTCCCATTAGTTATATTAAAATAATTTTCATTGACACCCAAATAAAAAAGCTGAGTGAAAAAAAAATATCAAATTTTGAGTACCTACAAATATTGGCTAAAAAATAAAAGCCTAAGCAATGTTATAAATAATGAGTAATAAATAATTTTTTTTAAATGTCGTATCYCAGACAGCAWATGTTTRTCTAAAATTACTATTATAACATTATTCTATATATTATACCTAAGACTGATGTTTTTTAACTGCACTATTTTAATTAGTAGTAAGATATGTTTTATTTGWATTGATTATTTTTATATTATTATTGTTTTTACCAAGTCTGATATTTTTAATAATGAATAAACAACTGTTTAGTGAAGTTTATGAACCACTACTTAATTCTATATGGGACCTTGAGAGGCAACTATAGTGTGAACATTTTTGGGAGCAACTCGGATGTAATTATGA